TCCTCTACCTGTTGAGTGTTTGCTATGTTTGGATTTGAAATGGTTTTTACTGGATGATGTCATCTTATATGGGAGAGTCAGGTCAACCAATACAATGATAGAAAGTTGAACGTCAGCACTTACAGTATGTGATGTTTCTACAAATTTCTTTTTTGGTATTTTCTTTTTATTTAAATTCATAAAAAAGAAATCATCAGGTACAAAGCCACTTGAACAGTTCACTTTTTTTTAACTGACCTAACAACACTATGCAGACAAATAAATAGACAAATAATAATAGAAAAAAATGTCAAAGAACAAAACAAATAAATAAATAAAAGTAATGATCTCTGGTCCAGGTGTAGCAGGTCACCAGGGGTAGTTATTGTAGTGCACGGCACCTCTTAAAGTATCTAGTTTGGGTGTTTCACATTGAATTGCCCATTGAATGCATCACCTCTAGCGGCTCATGGCATGACAGGACACATAAAGCTCACATCATTCAGGAAATTAACAACAGTACCACAAATTGCAATCAATCATTTACCAGAACAAAACTGGCAATTGTTTTCAACAACAGGGTTTAATTGGTGTTACCAAGTGTGGACAAAAAGTCTTGTTACGTACTCCAATCACATATGAAAGTACAAACAAGTCAACAGTGTCCTATATTATTCAACCTTAATGTAATCAGGGTTGTTTCTAGGAATGCCTTGGTCACAGTTTCACACACTCACATCTGTCATCTGTCCGTAACATACACAATCTAATCTGTTAGCTACTGAGCAGCATTGCTGGAGCAATTGGGGGTTTATGGCCTTCCACAACGGCCCTTCCTTAGGGACACTGCCTCATCTTATTTGGGTTAATGTGATCAAGTTTAGACAGTAAGCTTCCTTTTCTATTTCTAGCTGATGCGACTTAAAATCTAAGACAGCAGTGCTCTCTTTTGAGGTACAAAGTTCCCTTTTAAACTGTCCCTCACCTTAGTTCAACTGTCCATCAACCCCTCTCAAAAAGTCTGTTGAGTCAGATGCTTAGTGCAATACAATTTTTGAGCAGCGACAAACTCAACAGCTCAAATGTGTTGATAGTGCAAATCAATACCAACTCTTGATGCTGTGGCTGCAGCCGAAAAGATCCTGCCCACTCGGAAACCTTCAACTACAATAATACGCTCACAGCAAAAATGCAAAATACTGGAACCACACTAACAACACAGCAGAGCTTTTTCATTACCACTAACTGCTCATAATGAGTAGCATGCTATTTTCCAAACTGCTCAGCCCTCCCTACGAGACCCATCATCCCATAAAGCCCTCGCCACTACCACTTTGTTGGTTCAGCACCACCCATGCTCACAGATACACACCCTAAAGGGAGACAGACACAGTGCAGACAGAGAACACAAAGACAAAAATAATTTAGGTGTTGGAGTTTGGGTGTCTTCCTCAGCGCTTATCTCCGGGCCACCAGCAGGAATAAGTCCCTCTCTGGAGTCGGGATCTTTTCTAGCTCAACTACAAAAACCGTCAAATCACTGCTCACATTGCTGCACGGTGCAACAGAGGAAGCACAGGGGAAAACACTTCTCCTGGTCTTGAGGGTCTCTCACATGAGGATCCTCTGAAGCTTTATGAATAACCCAAAACTTGATGACTTGCTTGATGTCACACACCAACCATGTGCTGCATAGTGTCTCAGAAATAATTTAGTGCAGCTGCAGCAGCTCTCAGGGAGAAAAATGCTAAAACGAATGGAAGAAAACTGGAAAAAAAAAGACATAAAGATTGAGGTGTTCATGGGAATTTGATTTCTAGAAAGAATTTGTGACTCAATAAAAAGTGCTGATATGGGTGAGATGTTTCAGTGGATCACTATGATGTAATCTTGCAGTATGATGTGTGGATATAGTAGGATATATGCCATGTTTTTGTATAAACTAACTGCTTTTAATGACAATGATGTGGTGAATCCAAGGAGACATCATCTTATATTTATCCCATTTTTAATTGCCTCTATCCCACCAGTTAAATGAGATAGTTGGAGCATTTAAAGGAACAGTGTATAAGATTTAGGGGGATTTCGTAGCGTCCAGCGTTGAGGACTGCAGATTGCAACCAGCTGAAACTGATTAGAAGTCCTTCAGTGTTCATTGTTCAGGAGGTTTTCACCAGGAGCTGAATTATCCACAGAGGTCTCCTCCTCTCCAAAACAAACAGATGATTCAAACTGGTGTAAACACTGAATAAAGCAGTTTCGAGGTAGAAATCTATGTTTCTTCGACTGTTTGGCACATTGCAGACAGGCCGTTTGCTCAGCGCCTGCTATGTGTGCTCACCTTATTTCTGATCCAGACGTTCAGGAGGTTTTTACTGGGAGCCATCAACATCAAAACATCAATGTTTTTTGTCGCTTCTGGCTTCTAACTGCAGTGCACGATGCAAAAACACAAAAGGCCTTATCTAGAACCAGTGTTTGGTTCATCCGTTCCACGGTTCTGGGATATTGTAGAAAAATGGCAGTGCAACATGGTGACCTCCACAGACGAGGACCCACTCCCTATGTAGATATCAATGGCTCATTCTAAGGTAACAAGTAGAAGACGTCATCATATTGATTTCCTTCTTAGTAGCCTACATCCTCACCAGTTAAATAACAGCTGGAGAATTTAAAGGAACAGTGTGTAAGATTTAGGGGGATTGAGTAGCATCTAGCATTAAGGATTGTAGATTGCAACCAGCTGAAACTTCTCCTGATTACAAGTCATTCAGAGTTCTTTGCTCAGGGAGGTTTTTAACCAGGGGCCGAATAATCATCAGGGGTCTCCTTCTCTCCAGAACAAACAGACCTGGTGATTACAACTGGTAAAAACACGGAGGGGCTTCTAACTACAGCGGCCAATGCTAAGACGCAAAAGGCCCTATCTAGAGCCAGTGTTTGGTTGGTCTGTTCTGGGGTTCTGGGATATTGTAGAAACATGGCAGTGCAACATAGTGATCTCCATGGACAAGGAGCCACTCCCTCTGTAGATATAAACGGCTCCAGGAGAAGACATCATCATATTGATTTACTTTCTAGTACCCTATATTCTCACCAGTTAAATTAGATAGTTGGAGAATTTAAAGGAAAAGTGTGTAAGATTTAGGGGGATTTAGTAGCGTCAAGTGTTGAGGACTGCAGATTGCAACCAGCTGAAACTCTCCCGATTAGAAGTCCTTCAGTGTTCATAGTTCATGAGGTTTATATCAGGAGCTGAATTATCTGAACGGGGCTCCTCCTCTCCAAAACAAACAAATCAGGTAATTGAAATGGTTAAAAACACTGAATAAAGCTGTTTCACGTTGAAAAATCAGTGTTGTTCCAGTGCTGCTTATCACGGAGGGGCCTCTGATGCAAAAACGCAAAAGGCCCTATCTAGAGCCAGTGTTTGGTTTGTCCGTTCAGCCGCTGTGTTTCCCCCTGACACCGCCAGGTGCCATTAAACTATAACAACAACCAGCTGCAGATCATGTCAGTGTTAAAGGACGCCTTTTTTCATCGGTTTTTGACACAGCAAGTCACTGCCCAAGTGGCCAATATCGACAACTTTGGAGTGAGACCGGGCTCATTGTGTAGGTATGGTGGGCAAGTCATGTAGCTGCTCCAGCTGCACCTATACCTACTGGATCTAGAGCCAGTATTTGGTTTGTCTGTTCTGGGCTACTGCAGAAACGTGACGGAGCAACATGGTGACCTCCATAGAGGAGGACCCGCTCCCTATGTAGATATGGCTTGGTCTAAGGTAACAAGTAGAAGACATTATTGTATTGATTTCCTTTCTAGTAGCCTATATCCTCACCAGTTAAATGAAATAGTTGGAGAATTTAAAGGAACAGTGGGTAAGATTTAGGGGGAATCAGCTGCGTCTAGTGGTGAGGATTGAGGATTGCAACCAGCTGAAACTCTACCGATTAGAAGTCTTTCAGTGTTCATTGTTCAGAAGGTTTTAACCAGGAGACAAATTATTTGTAGAGGCCACGGAGGGACTGCTAACTAAGGATTGTAGATTGCAACCAGCTGAAACTTCTCCTGATTAGAAGTCCTTCAGAGTTCTTTGTTCTGGGAGGTTTTTAACCAGGGGCCGAATAATCGTCAGGGGTCTCCTTCTCTCCAAAACAAACAGACCTGGTGATTAAAACTGGTAAAAACACGGAGGGGCTTCTAACTACAGCGGCCGATGCTAAAATGCAAAAGACCCTATCTAGAGCCAGTGTTTGGTTTGTCCGTTCTAGGGTTCTGGGATATTGTAGAAACATGGCAGTGCAACATGGCGATTTCCATGTAGATATAAACAGCTCAAGGAGAAGACATCATCATATTGATTTACTTTCTAGTACCCTATATTCTCACCAGTTAAATTAGATAGTTGGAGAATTTAAAGGGACAGTGGGTAAGATTTAGGTGGAATTAGTGGCGTCTTGTAGCAGTCTCCGCAGACAAGGACCCGCTCCCTATGGAGATATAAACGGCTCATTCTGAGGTAACAAAAGCATTATTTTTATTTTCTGGTGATTACATACTAAAGACAATATACTTACTGTGTTCTTTTTCTGCCAATGTATCCCCCTAAATCCTACACACTGGACCTTTAAAGCTTTGAAGATTAGTGAGATGCTTTAATGGGCTACAACCCCATGTGGACTGAAGATGATGCATTCAATGTTGGCAAGATTTTTTCCATGCTTGTATTCATAGACTTTCCACCTTAAATGCATTAACTGATTGCAAGCATAAAAAGCTACGTTAATATGGAAAACTGAATGGTATGTGGATGTGCATGTTGCAGTTTTAGCACCAGGGACAGCACCAGATGCAGAGCAGGGACAGAGCATCTTCTCCTCTCAGTGTTGTTGCAGATATTGTTGAGAATACTGAAAATGTGCACAGTGTTTCCCATGTGACTGTGAAGGGTCAGCACCCACCCACACACCCACCACCCACCCACCCCCACCCCCCTTCGCACACCCCTAACTACCAGCACCACGTCCACTTCTTCTTTCTTCTCCCTGTTGAACGGGAGTAACATTACAGGCAGCGGGAGTGAGTGAGGTACGGACGGCCCTTCGGATGCTCGGCCGCGGGGGGAAGAAGAAGAAGCAGCAGCTGCGGATATCCGTCTCATACCTGCCTCAAAACGGGCTCTTCTCGTCGCCTATGTTTTTTTTTGTCTTCTTCTTCCCCCGCTGACCGGTTTTGTGTGAAAGCGAGATAAAACAGCCTGGTTTGGTTTCGTAACGCGCTGCACCGGTTAGCAGCGCGGAGGAAAAAGATCTTTTCCGAGGATGCGGATTTAACGGAAAGACGTTATCGGTGTTACCTGGGATTCTTGACCGTTAAAATTTGAATTAGCTTCGTCGCACGCGTCGGTAGCGGAGGAAGATATTTTTCATGTCTGGTGAAATATCGCACATAGTGACGCGGTAGTTAAAATATCGACAGCCTCTGTAACAGAAGACAAAATAAGGGGTAAGCGTGATTTATTTCTTATTATTTTTCTTATTATTTTTGGTCTTTTATTCTCCAGCAGCACCAGTGGGCTACCCACTAATAATAAAGCTAATGAGAGAGGGGAGTCTGATATTCAGGTGACTGCTGTTAGCTTACCACTGCTATTAGCTCCCCAAGCAAACATAACGTTTCTGTATCGCAGCTAATGTCATTTTTGAAACTCTGAAAGAGATGCTGGCTCAAATGAACTCATTTATAATTCTGGTGTGTTAGCTGCCTGGTTGAGAAGTGTATCTGACTGCAACGCCTTGCGTTAGTTACTGGGAACCATCCCTGTGTGTGTCTGTCTCTTCTTGCCTTTGTTTGAACCGATGTCAAACGCAGCCACATTTTATCTGCGTGTTCTCCTACATGCAACCAGCCTGTGGATCTTTGATTCAACATCTGCCATTGTTAAACCGACCAAGCCATGTTGCCTGCCCGCTTATTGCTTATTATTATTATTATTATTATTATTATTATTAGTGTCTCGGCCAAAATGTGCTATAGTGCTGACATCTTGTGAAGCTGCAGTTTTTGCTCTCGACATTGTGGGCTGTGTGGTTATGTTATGATAGGACTGAGATTTATACTGCGTGCCTGGCCTAGACTGTGAGTCATAGCAGGGATGCATCAGGTAAAAGTGTGTTAAATGGTTGGCTTAGGAGCAGAATTTCATTAAAAACAAATGCCAGTGAACAAGTTGTTTGCAAAGTGTAAGTTTGCTATATACCCAGGAAGCATTTTGAGACCATACCACCTATTTTTTTTGCAGATACCGAAAGCTGACATTCGCCGGCTACCACGTGTAGAACCATGTTTCATGGCCCAGAGACATCAGCCCATTGAAAAAAATGTTATTGTGACAGAGAGGAAAAACACATGGGCATGCTGATGAAATTAAAATTTCAATATCAGTTTTGAGCCGTTTGAAAATTTAGATTTTTATGTACAATATAGGGCAGGTATTAGTCATAATTGAGAGTAGTTATTGGTGATGAAGGGTTATATTCTAGTATGTTCTGTTCTTTTTTTTAATCTATAGGAGACAACAAAAAAGAGCTGAAACGCTAGGAAAAAATGCACTGCACTAAAAGAGTAGTGGAATAACACTGGCTATGGAAAAGTGGGAGGCCCTTATGCAAAGATTGACGAAGTTGTATCAGTGCAAAACATCGAAATTTATGGCATTTAACTCCTCATCTTGGCTAGAACAGCTAATGGTAGGTCAGGGAATGGTTAGATGTTTTTTTTAAGGACACTTTCAATAAAGTATTATTTGGCTGTTTCGTGGAACCAAACCTATGCCCTCTCCATTACAGGATGGTCATATCCTTTGTCACTGGTTCTCAGTCCAACACAAATAAGATTTTAGCCCCTTTTTATATTCAGTGACTGATTTTCACATTGATTGCAATCATAGAGAGTGTGATGGAAAGCCAGGTGTCCATTCTGTTATGTTTAATATGCCTCCATCTCCTCCTTCCCTTTGTGGCCAGGAAACTGGTTTATATGGAAGACAAGATTTGTCAAAATTATATCAGTTAAATTGACTTTTAAATATAGATAAGATGAGAAAATAAGCAATTAAAATGAATTACCTCATCATTTTAGGTTATAATTACTGCGTGTTAACCAATGTATGTTGCTTTCCTATTCCTATACATTGTGTTTAGCACTTTACTGTTTGGATGTTTTTATTTCCTACCTAGGGTTTGCCCGGGGCACTTTTTTATTTATTTTATTATTATATAGCAGGGATTTATGTGGTAACCATATCAGCACTGTGATAAGAAACAACATATTGCCTTGGATTTTAGCTGTTTTGTTATATTCTGTTGCTCAAATGTTTTCTTTTTCTGATGTTTAAGGCTGTATTGTGGCTAAAATGTAATGCAATTTCCATTAACTTCTAACATAACTAATATTATCAGGCAAGCTTGTGTAAAAAAAAAAATGCCTCATCATCCTACCCACATAGAGACTATACCACTTACATGTAGTTCAGACTAAATTTTCTACAAATATCACCTGTAGCCATACCCAAAATAATGTCATAGAATTAATATAGAGGTACTAAGTCAAAAAGTGCTCAATATTTTTAGTATTTTTAATATCAACTGCTCATTCTGATTGTCACTTACGTTGTGAAGTAGCCTAGATGCCAATTGATATCACACAGATTTCATTTTTCAAATAAATTAAAGAAGAAAAAAAAACTGACTTCTAGTATGTTAAAAAAAACAATGTTAATCAATCTGGTTACTCTAAAGTCAACAAATACAGGGTTTGTTTACTAGATAAATTTGCCAAATTTACACAAAATTCCCCACAGAGAGGTCAGACCTTGTTTCAGCAAGCTTTGAGTGGTACCACCAGAGGGCGATATGATGACTCTCCCCTTCTTGTTCACCTTGTTGAAATGATGCTCATGGAGCATTGTCTGCAGGCAGCATTAGGTGTGCGGTTGAAGCAGGCCTCATACAGTATGTTTAATAATTAACGACATCCCTTTGGGGCTGTGGATGAAATTTAGCCGCAGAGGCCTGCTGTGATATGACTACACACCAAATGGGGAGATTACAAGGAAAATAACACTGGGTAATTGTGCATCAAAACACACCATGTACTTGGAATAATTTATTAGCCATTGTGCAGTTCTTGTGTTTCTTTGTCTTTTCCATGGCGTCCAGGCTTCCTGTGCAAACAGCCATTAGGAGCCTTCCTTTAGATTTTTATGGACAATCAGCCACACACGCTCATGAAAGTGAATCTGCCTTTGAGGAGTAATACAAATGCATTTATATCAGCAGATTTATCAGATATATTCAAATTAGCAGCTTATGGCACCCTCAATTTGAACTGAGCCCCGTTGCTCTTTATGTTAATTACATGCTGACCAATTAGAATACATAAAGCCCACTTGAAAGTTTTATGTATGAGTTTAAAAAGTATATTTTTTAATTTGATTTATGAATTGCAGCTTTAGAAGATAAGCACTTATTTGCAGGATGGGCATTGTGTGTTGCTGTGATAGGAGTTCTCTGTCGGTAATTGTATATAATTAGAAAATGCTTATCGATCCATTTAGCACTGCATAATGTTCCCAGGAAGACCGTGTACCAAAACAAGCTAGATAAATGCTCCATCATCTTTTTATTAGACTGTAAATAGTGTGTGTGGGTTTTTTTTATTTGCGTCAAAAAATCCTAGTCAGATCATACCTTGTTATTGTGTTCATGGCCACAAGTTGAAATAACCTTTTGATGGAGAGACAGATGGGTTGTGATGATAGATGGATGAGATATGGCTGTTAGCTGGCTGGCAAGATGAACAGCGTTCAACAATAGAATGGGGCTGTGAATGTGGGCCCCCCATAGTGCTGATTCTCAAAATCCCTCTCGAACAAGCTTTTTTCAGTTCCTGTCATTCACGCTTTCATTGTGCTGCAGTGAACCATATCACTAACCAGCATACGCCTTGTGTAACTATAGTGCTGCTTTCTGACGTGCAGTTCTACATTTAACATTTAGATTTTTAGGCCTGTGGAGTACAGTGGAAAGTTAAATATTGGTAGTTATTTTCCAGATTTATTTATTCATTCTTTCACATGCGGTTGTGTCAAATGCAACCCCCCCTGAAAGCAAAACCGTCGGCATGTGTGCCCTGTGTGCCCTGTGTGCCCTGTGTTGTGAGGCCAGAAAGTGACATTTATGATGACTTGAGGCCGAAATGTTTGGGTTTTTTAATCCGCTGCCATTAAATAAAAAACTGAAGACACATTTGGCGCTAGGCAATCCACCCTTAACAGTGTGAGAGAGCTTAAAATGTTGAACAGAAAATGGCCACAAAGCTTTGGAAAGACAAAATACCTATAACAATAATAATACTTTTTACTCTATAAAAATGCTTTTCAGTGGGATGAGAAAATCCCTCAACCAGTGGGGGTTTTGAAATATTTTGAACAAATTGGATCAATTCAGATTGTCAAAAGATATGACTAACGCTGCAATTTGTTCCTGAAAAGTTGACATTCTGGAGACACATTTGTGATTTCCACTCAAGAGACCATTCCAGTTTATTTTCAGAATTTGAAAAAGTAGGTCATCAGCATGAATATGATTATATCACATCTTTTAAACAAAGCAAGGCAGTATAGCTCATCAAGATTATCTCCATAAAAACATCACTTATTTTGTGAAATGAGATTGATTGATCTTGAAAACAACTGGAGCCAAATACACTGAAGAACTGTCCTGAACAACTGGGTCATCTGCATAAAATATGCATTTAGTTTTTTTTAGGATAGCTGAGTCATTAATATAAATGTCAATTTATCTTGCATCTATTATTAAACAGCAGCCAGTGAGTAAAGTAGATCAGAAGTTATTTTGGTGCTTTAGTTGCATTTGTGTTCCATAGAAAAACATTAATGGCATTCAATTTTATGTCCATACTACAGGCTTTAAATTACTTATGTCCAGCTTTCCTATGATAATTATTATAACTGCAGTGCGCTGCGTAGCATACAAAGTTGGAATCCTGAACACAGCTAAATGCTCAATAGTTCAAGGAGAGGGCAGTTCACTTATCTCCTTTATTTTTCATAATGTCAGAAAAGTAGAGAGGGAGAAAGAATGAGGTCATTACAGGGCCACACGTGGCAGCAGCCAGCAACACAACCACCAGGACATCTGGAAAGCAAGCACAGATTTATCAGTTTTATGCATCTACAGTATGGCATGTTATGTGCTATTAAAGGTTTTTCGTTATGCCCCTAATAAATACACCCACCTGTTTTTAAAGATGAGGTCATCGGAAGGACTTTGTTTCATGCTCACTGCCTCTTGCGTGGGCAGCCTTTTCATGCACAGGCAGAAATTCTGAGCAGTTGTTGCACCTCTGCTTCACAGGGTCACAAAATGTTGCACACCCCCTCAGGAATCTGAAAAAGGAATATTTCACTGCCAATTCAATAT